CCTGCTCCTTCTGCCCCCAGCGATGGAGAGCTGGGTGCGGGAGTGTGGAGCAGAGACCAGCTCCCAGGCGGTGGCCCTGGCTGAAGGCTTCCTCCTAAGCCAGGCAGAGGAGCAGAAGGAGCAGGTCCACTTGCAGGTAAGAGACTTTAGGGAGGTCAAAAGGGAATAGAGGATGTGTTTGAACACTTTACCTCTCCTTTCCAAACTTCTGACATTCATAATATGTGGCAATTTACCAATTCTTGTAGGACATTGTTCCATTGTTTTCCCACTCAACCTCACCAATATTGGGGTCTTTGCATTCTGAATATAAGAATCCACGTAATGGCATGTGATGTACATTAATTCTGCTTCTTTTTTCCTTCTTCCATTTTGAAGTGCTGCACTGTGGGGATTAGGGATCCTGAGGAAGAGAAGAACCCATCAAATCCCTCTCAAAATCTATTTTTCAGGAGGATCCCTTGGAAAGATCAAAGTCGGGACACCATAGGAGGTAATCTAAGAGCCTCCGATTACCCAGAGAGATCCCATCTGTCTTACCTTCTTCTCTTCTGTAGTATACATCCTCTTATTTTGTTAAATATACATTTTGAAATTATTTATTCCTTACAGAGAAACAGAGAATGAAGTTTTCTGGTTTTTACAATGGACCTCAAACAGCGGTTGAACCTCCAAATCAAGTAAGAAAGGGAAATGTTATTAGATTTGTATTGTTCTTTCCTTTAGGTGAAGTGAAGTGGATGTGCAGAATGCTCTCTCTTTCTATTTCCCGCCTTGTTTAGACTGGATTATTTTTGTGTTCCTGCACAACATGGACAGCATAATAACAGGTTTAAGTTGCTGTCAGCCAGCTTAATTTCTTCTGTAGGCTATTACTGCGATACAATGGATTGTCATTTCTGCCCTCAGATTCTGTTTAGGAATTTTTTTTAAAAGACCACAGATTAACTGGTTCTGCTAGGTACTCATCCAACTATGAGTTTACTAGAAGTAATTTTTTAACAAGTCCTTCAAAAATAGGAATAAACATATCACAGTTGTAGTAACTGCTAGAGATCCATTGTTTTAGAGACCTGTCCTTTTTTAATTCTTGTGCGAGGCTAATGAAAAATAACTAAATACCCCTCTTGCCACATTACCATTTTCAAAAAGCCTTGTTCATAACCAGTAGTTCAAAAAATAAGCATATCACATTAAAAGATAAAGCAGAATCCAAGGAGAATGGCCACAGAACATGTAATTATGGTACGTCAGGCTATAATTTCCTTTTCTCTGATTTCTGCCTGGATTAGGAGATCAAACATTCCCGCTTTGCAAAGACCTTCACAAAAGACTTTCACAGGGAATTATCTCTTCTTTCTTTTCTCTCATTCAGCCAATGGCTTAGACTACTAGATCACTAAATGATAGAGTGATAGATCAGTTGTTCCCCTTCTAATTGTCTAAATCATTGATGAAGATGAGCAGATCTTGCAAATCCTCCAATTCTGTTCTTTTTTCCTTGTTCAGGATCTTGTGTCCTTCGAGGAGGTGGCTGTGTATTTCTCTGAGGAGGAATGGTCTCAGCTGGATCCTGACCAAAAAGCTCTGCATTCAGAAGTCATGCTTGAAAACCATAGGAATGTGGTCTCTCTGGGTAAGAGTTTTTTAGTCCCTAATCGGAGAGTTCAAGAAGACAGATTATAGTTAGTTTTTTAATTAAAAAATCACTAATTAGATGTTGCCTTCTTGGTGGGAGAAGGAAATGATCTGGCCTTCTGCTACTCCAAGGAAGGAAAAAGTCAATATCTCTTTGCTTTGATGCTTTCCGTGAAGAGCATTCTCCCAACAAAATTAATGAACAGAGGCCTGATGCAGTATGACTCCTAGGGTACAGGAAATCCCTGAGATACGACAATTCACAAAGTGACTGTTCCAAGTTACGACCTAGTCCTCCCTCAAGTACTTAAAACACGGTTTGAAATTATGACTGTTGCAGCACAACAGTTGTCATTCACACTTACAAATGATAGCAGAGGCTCTGCAACGTTTGCGCTATCTATAACCCCACCCCAGCTGGCTGAGACTTCCATTGCGATAATGTAGCAAGACGTCAGAGGTAGTTGGTTCGGCCAAACTGGTAGTGATATATCCGCCTGGGTTATAGAACCGGCAGCGATCCAGGCTGACCTCCAAACCAGTTCCCCAATCACCACCGTTGCCACCGCCATCTTTTTGGGGGAGTTCATTTCCATTGAAATGCGCATGCAGCACGCATCCAGTGTGCACACGAGTGAACTGGCAGAAACGATAGCTAGAACCCACCCACAGAGACTTGGTTCCTTTGCCTGCTTCAGTGCATTTGCAGAAAACAGAGGCCTAAATTAGCAAGAGAGATGCGAGATTGGTAGTACGAAATCTCAGGCTATGGATTTCACGCGATCTCTTAACTACAGTACTTTAGACCCCTGTTCTCTACTAACCAAGGCCTGCATGAGATCCAGGGCAAAATGCTTTGGAAACAAAGGAAAGGCCTCTTCATTTTCAAAGACTTTGCCCCTGGAACTTGTGCAGTCCTCAACTTGGGCCAAAAATACTGTAGTGCAAGATCATGCCTGAGATCTTGCACTATTTGTCTTGTGTGATCTTGAACTAAAGCCTGTACCCGATCCTGCCAAAGAGTCCTTACAAGCCACTGAGACTTTGGGACAGCCATTCTTGAAACCTTTCAACCATTCCAGTCTCCGTGCAAAGAGCGTTTACAAACCAATGGGAGATTTCAAGGAAGGGAGTTCGCTCCATTGCTGAGATCATGGAACAGGCTGAGCGGGAGCTCTGCCTGCAAGACAGACAGATGCTTGTTGTTTCAGTTCTCACGAGTCTCTACTGAAACTAAAAAAAACCAATAAATTTTACGATTTCTAATAATTCCTCCTTGGAGGGTTACCCTGATTATTCCTTCACGGAAAACTGAGTGAGATTTGCATACATAATTAGATAATTGTAAAGAAACAGATATTTTCTAGATATTTTCAAAACTTTCATGACTCACATACATAGAAATCACCACCACTGTAAACATGCAAACAAAAAACCTAATGGAATTTTGGAAAAATTCAGAAGGAAATTCACTTGACTTTCTACAGTTTGATCTTTTTCTCTAACCTTGTTATTATTTTCATTTCTCTTTTGCTTTGAAGGTAATAGCGGGCAGGAGAAACAAGATTCCTGTGAATTGTTCCAAGTGATAAATCTTAAAGATGGAACGGATAAGTTTGGATTTCGAATGGATTTCGAAAGCCATGAGAAAACCCAGTCAAATGATTGGAATCAGAAAAGCTCATCTTCCACTGATGCTCCGATGCAAGAATTTCTTGCCCAACAAGAGAAAATAAGAAAAAAAAATATTGGGAATAGTGTGAAGCTAATCAAAGATAAATTACATGTAGACGAACACTGTTTAACCCAAAACAAATTCAAAGAGTATGATAACATGTTCAGAAGTGGTAGTAATCTTATTTCCCATAAAAGGATCCACTTAGGAAAGAAACCATATAAATGTGTGGAGTGTGGGAAAACCTTTACTCATAGCAATGGACTTAGAAACCACAAAACAACCCATACAGGAGAAAAACCTTATAAATGCATGGAGTGTGGAAAAACCTTTACTCTGAGCAATAGACTTACTATCCACAAAAAGATCCACACAGGGGAAAAGCCATTTAAATGCATGGAGTGTGGGAAAACCTTTGCTCGAAGATGTAATCTTATTTCACATAAGATGATTCACACAGGTGAAAAGCCATATAAATGCATGGAGTGTGGAAAGACCTTTGCTCAAAGAGGTAATCTTATTTCCCATAAGATGATCCACTCAGAAGACAAACCATTTAAATGCATAGAGTGTGGAAAGACGTTTACTAACAGCAATGCTCTTACTTCTCATAACAGAATTCACACAGGAGAGAAGCCGTATAAATGCATGGAATGTGGAAAGACCTTTGCTCATAATGGTAATCTTACTTCTCATAAAAGGATCCATGTTCAGGATAAAGTATATAGCAATAGCAATTCCACTTTAGACTTATATACCACTGCACAAAGCTTTATAGCAGTCTTTGAGCAGTTTACAAAGTCAGCGTATTGTCCGTAGCAATCTGGGTCCTCATTTTAACTGACCTGGCAAAGAATAAAGGCTGAATCAAGCATGAGCTGGTCAGGACTGAACTCCTGGGTGTGAGCAATTAGCTTGTAGTACGGCATTCTAACCTCTGACTCACCATGTCTATAGATTTTTATGTTTATGCGTATTGTGCCTTTCTGATCCAAATGAGACAAGGTTGGTTCCAACAAAGTGAAATTTAATGTGAAGAAAAGTAAAGTTTTACATCTGGGCGGGAAAAACATTACATGAAACCTGGCTCAAGAACAGGGTTGGGGTTAATATATAAAACCATCCCACTTTGCTTTTTTTGTGCTAATGAGCATAGTTTCCCAATTTTTAGGATATTCCAATAATTTATTGTATTTTTTTTCGATGTGGCCCTCTTGAAGACAAATAAAATATAATTTTAACTTTCCTTATTTGTTAAAAGTCCTTTTCATATAATTCAGTCCATTTATATCGATCAACAGTAATGTGCAAAGGCGGGATGCATGTGAGGAGTCACACATGCACGGGGAATCACTCGTGCATTTGCAGGTGTGACAGGCCTCAGAAGAGAAGCATATTTTGTAACGAGTAATACAGGGAGTTAACATTATAACTAACCAGGGCAGGGAAATCATGGGCAGGTTGTGTGCAACTACGCAATGGGGTACACGGGATCGCACACATTTGTGTGTGGGGGGGTGTCACACGTGCATTGAATTATATGTGTGCGTATGCACGCTTTTGGCACATGATGACAAAAAAGTTAGCCATCATAACATATACAGGGGGGAAAACAAGAAAAAGAAACAAAACCAAAAGATGTTAGCAGGAGAACATAAGAGACTAGAATGAGAATTACAGAAAGAATCATCTCAGGGTTCCAAGTAACATCCCTCACAAACAAAGACTCCGAGGCTTGAGTTTCTTCAAAGTTCCATTTTATTAGAGACGTCCTATTGGCACTTCTGGGAAAACCTGAATCTGAAAGCTTTCATGCTTAAAGTTCAAGACCCTGCCCCAACACCCAGAAGTCTATCACATGGGCCAATCAGTAATTGCCACGAAGGAAGATTCCTCCCATCCGCATCTGTTCAGATGCAGGGACAAGATGACCTTTACTTTCTGAGAAAGAATGTTGTTACGGCTACATATCACCTATATTCTGTATAATCCTCCCTTCCATTTTCCCACAGTAGAAAATGTGGCAGGCCTGAAATCCAAAAGCTTCCAAGTGTGACAGGCCTCAGAAGAGAAGCATATTTTGTAACGAGTAATACAGGGAGTTAACATTATAACTAACCACCTCCCCCCCACTCCCGCCCATATTATAGAAACAAAGTGTTGACTGGATCTTCCCTTTTCTGTCCTCTGATTTACCTAATCCATTTTACATCATCACTTGGTTTTCACTTTCAGTCAAATTATTTTCTTCCATTATTTTCCATTTTTATACTCATTTTTTTCTTAGTACATAAACAATATCTTCAATTGCCCCTTCAAAAATTGCACCAAATTATCATTTCATATTTCTCTATTGGTTTATTTTATTATAAACAATATATATCCTCTAGTTACGTTTTGACAGAGCATTCCTTTCAAGTTTTTTCTACAATTAACAATGTACTATATTTCTTAGTTGCATAACAATACCAATCCTACTACTATTTCCTTTAATCTACTGATACAACTCTCTTTCTCTTTCTTCCTCGTTTATCCATTTTCACTTGGACTCTCAAAAATCCCACTTTTAATCATTTTTCTTCTCCCCCTTTCTCCTAATTCTTCTTTTTCCTGTTTTTACGGTTCCAATATATATATTTTATTATGTTTTCATTCTATACAATCACATATTCACTGTGCTTAATCAGGGCATATAACATTGANGATGAGGTGGCTGGATGGAGTCATTGAAGCAGTCGGCGTGAGCTTAAATGGACTCCAGAGGATGGCAGAGGACAGGAAGGCCTGGAGGAACATTGTCCATGGGGCCACGATGGATCAGACATGACTTCGCAACTAACAACATAGAAGATGTCAGAGCCAGTTTAGTATAGTTGTTAAGGCATCAGGCTAGAAATTAGGAGACCAAATTCTAGTCCTGCCTAAATACAAAACCACTGGGAGCCAGTCCCTTTCTCTCAGCCCTAGGAAGGAGACAATGGCAAACCAGTTCTGGAAAACTTCTTAGACAGCATAAGCAACATAATACAAAGAGAGAAAGAAGCATACAGGATTTTAAGAGTCGTGGAAGAAAAAAAAACCTGTGAAGCTTTTTAGATAAAAACTTTTTAGATAAAATATATGATGAATGGTTGCAGGACTTGGGTGAATTTAGTCTAGTGAAAAGAAGGACCAGGGAGACATTATAGCAGTGATCCAATATCTGAGGGACCACCACAAAAAAAGGGGTCAACCTATTTTCCAAAGTACCAAGAAGGCAAGAGAATAAAAACAACAAATGGAATCTAATCAAAGAGAGACTCAACTTAGAACTAAGGAGAAATTTCCTGACAGTGAGAACGATTAACCTGTGGAATGAATGGCTTGCTTTTCAGGAGTAGTGGGTGCTCTTTTATATTGGAGATATAACCCCAAGATCAATTAAATTTTATTAATAATTAGTTTTATTGGTGTTCATAGAAAAGAGAAATATCGGAAATATGGCAGAACGTGAGTAATACGGTACTTAAAATATTGGTGACTTAATAGGGGTCAACAAACACATTGTATGAAGAAATGTAATTGATGTTTAAATATATTTTTTTGGAGAAAGTGATAAAGTAAAGAGAGAATAGTACTATTTAAAGATAAAAAAGGTAAATAGGGAAGAACCCCAATAACTGGGGGTGGATGGGAATCAAGTACAAATTGGGAAAATAGTATTATACATATTGATACATAAAAGAATGTTGTAATTATAATGGGCATATTAACGTTAGAAGTTGGAAGATTAAAAACTATGTATATGTAATTGTATTGTTATTGTTAGTGCTGTGTAAAAAAATGGATTGACCCAGTCATTACACTGTCCACAAAATATGTTGGTTGTTAAAGGGAAACTGCAAATAAAACATATACAAAAGAAGAAGAAGTTATGATTGCTCCATCATTGTAGGCTTTTAAGAAGAGACTGAACACAAATGATAAACTAACACGATCAGCAGCTCTTAAATATATATGTTTTATTGTTGGCATTTATCACCAACAAGATTGGCTAAAATGTACCCAAACATGAAGCTGACCTGCTGGAAGTG